TACATCTGACAAGATAAACTACACCAGATACCATCACAAGCATTACATCTGACAAGATAAACTACACCAGATACCATCACAAGCATTACATCTTAGAAGATAAACTACACCAGATACCATCACAAGCATTACATCTTAGAAGATAAACTACACCAGATACCATCACAAGCATTACATCTGACAAGATAAACTACACCAGATACCATCACAAGCACTACATCTGACAAGATAAACTACACCAGATACCATCACAAGCACTACATCTGACAAGATAAACTACACCAGATACCATCACAAGCATTACATCTGACAAGATAAACTACACCAGATACCATCACAAGCATTACATCTGACAAGATAAACTACACCAGATACCATCACAAGCATTACATCTGACAAGATAAACTACACCAGATACCATCACAAGCATTACATCTGACAAGATAAACTACACCAGATACCATCACAAGCACTACATCTGACAAGATAAACTACACCAGATACCATCATAAGCATTACATCTTAGAAGATAAACTACACCAGATACCATCACAAGCATTACATCTGACAAGATAAACTACACCAGATACCATCACAAGCATTACATCTGACAAGATAAACTACACCAGATACCATCACAAGCATTACATCTTAGAAGATAAACTACACCAGATACCATCACAAGCACTACATCTGACAAGATAAACTACACCAGATACCATCACAAGCATTACATCTGACAAGATAAACTACACCAGATACCATCACAAGCATTACATCTTAGAAGATAAACTACACCAGATACCATCACAAGCATTACATCTGACAAGATAAACTACACCAGATACCATCACAAGCATTACATCTTAGAAGATAAACTACACCAGATACCATCACAAGCATTACATCTGACAAGATAAACTACACCAGATACCATCACAAGCACTACATCTGACAAGATAAACTACACCAGATACCATCACAAGCACTACATCTGACAAGATAAACTACACCAGATACCATCACAAGCACTACATCTCACATGATAAACTACACCAGATACCATCACAAGCATTACATCTTAGAAGATAAACTACACCAGATACCATCACAAGCACTACATCTGACAAGATTAACTACACCAGATACCATCACAAGCACTACATCTGACAAGATAAACTACACCAGATACCATCACAAGCACTACATCTGACAAGATAAACTACACCAGATACCATCACAAGCACTACATCTCACATGATAAACTACACCAGATACCATCACAAGCATTACATCTTAGAAAATAAACTACACCAGATACCATCACAAGCACTACATCTGACAAGATAAACTACACCAGATACCATCACAAGCATTACATCTCACATGATAAACTACACCAGATACCATCACAAGCATTACATCTGACAAGATAAACTACACCAGATACCATCACAAGCATTACATCTCACATGATAAACTACACCAGATACCATCACAAGCACTACATCTGACAAGATAAACTACACCAGATACCATCACAAGCATTACATCTTAGAAGATAAACTACACCAGATACCATCACAAGCATTACATCTGACAAGATAAACTACACCAGATACCATCACAAGCATTACATCTGACAAGATAAACTACACCAGATACCATCACAAGCATTACATCTGACAAGATAAACTACACCAGATACCATCACAAGCATTACATCTTAGAAGATAAACTACACCAGATACCATCACAAGCACTACATCTGACAAGATAAACTACACCAGATACCATCACAAGCATTACATCTTAGAAGATAAACTACACCAGATACCATCACAAGCATTACATCTTAGAAGATAAACTACACCAGATACCATCACAAGCATTACATCTTAGAAGATAAACTACACCAGATACCATCACAAGCACTACATCTTAGAAGATAAACTACACCAGATACCATCACAAGCACTACATCTGACAAGATAAACTACACCAGATACCATCACAAGCATTACATCTTAGAAGATAAACTACACCAGATACCATCACAAGCATTACATCTTAGAAGATAAACTACACCAGATACCATCACAAGCATTACATCTCAGAAGATAAACTACACCAGATACCATCACAAGCATTACATCTCAGAAGATAAACTACACCAGATACCATCACAAGCATTACATCTTAGAAGATAAACTACACCAGATACCATCACAAGCACTACATCTGACAAGATAAACTACACCAGATACCATCACAAGCATTACATCTGACAAGATAAACTACACCAGATACCATCACAAGCACTACATCTGACAAGATAAACTACACCAGATACCATCACAAGCACTACATCTGACAAAATAAACTACACCAAATACCATCACAAGCATTACATCTGACAAGATAAACTACACCAGATACCATCACAAGCACTACATCTGACAAGATAAACTACACCAGATACCATCACAAGCATTACATCTTAGAAGATAAACTACACCAGATACCATCACAAGCATTACATCTCAGAAGATAAACTACAAGAGCAAGAGGATGGCCAATATTATAGATTACATCTTCATAGCAATACAACAGCCAATGCCAGCCACCGTGCACTGGATCACAAATTGTTTCTCCCCCTCACTGTTTAAAGGCAGAAGTAGTTTATGATAACGATGAACATGGGTGCTGAATCACTCATAATGGTACACCAAACCAGGCAAGATACTGGTCACAACCTGCCTAAACTTCTCTGTTATTCTAGAACTAGCTTTCCAACCTGGAGCCTGGCCAGCCTAGAGAGGGGATCAAGGTATCCTTTACCTGGGAGGCAAGGAACCAACAGTCTGCACCCAAATAAATCAGATCTTTAAAGTTGATGTGTACTTAATACTCTAGTCCGGGAAATAGCCAAAGTCCAGAAGTGGATGAACAAGAACAACCAAAACTTTCCACCGGAGTTTAAAGCCATTAAATACAAAGAAGAAGAAGTAGATAACCGTCTGTAAATGTGATAAATGTAATATTGAGATTTATGTTTGTAAATGTCAGTTATATTGTAGTGACAGTTTTCCTTTGCACATGTGATTGCCAGCATGTAAATAGCTTTCTGTAGTTTAAATGCGATTTATAACTTAGCTTTCCTTTGGTTTTCATTAATTTAAAATAGAAACCTTTGAAAAGATTGGCTGGCTCTGCACAGCTTTCTGGAATACTGATGATAAGTCAGACTAAAAAAGACCTTGTTGGAGCAGGTGTGCAGCTCAGTACAGACAGCAAATTGATCATCACAGTCTGGTGAGAGTGATGCAAGGACAAGGAGATCTGACCCATACTCGACGCTCAGAGGAAAGGGCAGGACGGGGTGAGAGTGATGCAAGGACAAGGAGATCTGACCCATACTGGACGCTCAGAAGAAAGGGCAGGACATGGTGAGAGTGATGCAAGGACAAGGAGATCTGACCCATACTTGACGCTCAGAAGAAAGGGCAGGACGGGGTGAGAGTGATGCAAGGACAAGGAGATCTGACCCATACTTGACGCTCAGAAGAAAGGGCAGGACGAGGTGAGAGTGATGCAAGGACAAGGAGATCTGACCCATTCTTGACACTCAGAGGAAAGGGCAGGACATGGTGAGAGTGATGCAAGGACAAGGAGATCTGACCCATACTTGACGCTCAGAGGAAAGGGCAGAACGGAGGGAGAGTGATGCAAGGACAAGGAGATCTGACCCATACTCGATGCTCAGAAGAAAGGGCACGACGGGGTGAGAGTGATGCAAGGACAAGGAGATCTGACCCATACTCAACGCTCAGAGGAAAGGGCAGGACGGGGGGAGAGTGATGCAAGGACAAGGAGATCTGACCCATACTCGACACTCAGAGGAAAGGGCAGGACGGGGTGAGAGTGATGCAAGGACAAGGAGATCTGACCCATACTTGACGCTCAGAAGAAAGGGCAGGACGAGGTGAGAGTGATGCAAGGACAAGGAGATCTGACCCATACTTGACACTCAGAGGAAAGGGCAGGACATGGTGAGAGTGATGCAAGGACAAGGAGATCTGACCCATACTTGACACTCAGAGGAAAGGGCAGGACGGGGTGAGAGTGATGCAAGGACAAGGAGATCTGACCCATACTTGACGCTCAGAAGAAAGGGCAGGACATGGTGAGAGTGATGCAAGGACAAGGAGATCTGACCCATACTTGACGCTCAGAAGAAAGGGCAGGACGGGGGGAGAGTAATGCAAGGACAAGGAGATCTGACCCATACTTGACCCTCAGAGGAAAGGGCAGGACATGGTGAGAGTGATGCAAGGACAAGGAGATCTGACCCATACTTGACACTCAGAGGAAAGGGCAGGACGGGGTGAGAGTGATGCAAGGACAAGGAGATCTGACCCATACTTGACGCTCAGAAGAAAGGGCAGGATATGGTGAGAGTGATGCAAGGACAAGGAGATCTGACCCATACTTGACGCTCAGAAGAAAGGGCAGGACGGGGGGAGAGTGATGCAAGGACAAGGAGATCTGACCCATACTTGACCCTCAGAGGAAAGGGCAGGACGGGGTGAGAGTGATGCAAGGACAAGGAGATCTGACCCATACTTGACCCTCAGAGGAAAGGGCAAGACGGACGTATAATCAGACTGCTACTGGCACCATTGGCTGGTACTGGAACTCTGCACTGGCTGCTGAAGATGGGGACAGAGCGCTTATGAGAATGCCGCAAATGCCATGCTGTCGGTTCTTGAATCAACTTCAACTCAGCTTATAATAGAGATAAATTTCCTTAGGTAGAAATATGTTTAATTTAGAATAGATTCATTTGTTATTACATGTTCGGAAAGTTACAGGTATGGTATAAATGTTATTCATTATTAAAATAGATTGCCATAGTATAAATGTTATTCATTATCAAAATAGATTGCCTTGTAGGTAAATGTTATCTGTTGATTGCCTTTTGTTTATGCCTTGTACAGATGCAGTCCAGTCTTGTGGAAAACAACCAGAGAATTCAGCAGAATGTGCAGAGTATAGATAAGAGACTGAAAGCCTTGGAGAAGTCATAGATTTCTGGACATTAGTTGCGTGTTTCATCCAGCAATCATCCTAGTTGGAGGTGTGCGGGCTGGAGTATCTGGACTGGCTGGCTGATGTGTTGTCTGATGTTCTTCATTGTTTCCTTGTTTGTACCTCTGTATCTTGAGTGGTTTCACTAGCATGCCAATATCTGATTCAGATGCTAACTATCATCATCATTAATGCCATCATCACCATCATCATCAAGCATTGGGCACCTCTTCTCATGAAGGAGAAGAAAGTTCAGGAAGGAAAAACTTCTAAGGAAACTTACTGGGCACCTTACTTTACAAATTATCATCATCATCATGTTCTTTTGTGTGTCACACATTCTTCCATTCCATTCTGCTCTGTGCTGTGCAGTTATTTCAGTATCGTGGATGAAATCCATTCAATCCCCAGTACCTTTAGCCTTGCTCTTTAACATACAATCCCCAGTACCTTTAGCCTTGCTCTTTAACATACAATCCCCAGTACCTTTAGCCTTGCTCTTTAACATACAATCCCCAGTACCTTTAGCCTTGCTCTTTAACATTCAATCCCCAGTACCTTTAGCCTTGCTCTTTAACATTCAATCCCCAGTACCTTTAGCCTTGCTCTTTAACATTCAATCCCTAGTACCTTTGGCCTTGCTCTTTAACATTCAATCCCCAGTACCTTTAGCCTTGCTCTTTAACATTCAATCCCCAGTACCTTTAGCCTTGCTCTTTAACATTCAATCCCCAGTACCTTTAGCCTTGCTCTTTAACATTCAATCCCCAGTACCTTTAGCCTTGCTCTTTAACATTCAATCCCCAGTACCTATAGCCTTTCTCTTTAACATTCAATCCCCAGTACCTTTAGCCTTGCTCTTTAACATTCAATCCCCAGTACCTTTAGCCTTGCTCTTTAACATTCAATCCCCAGTACCTTTAGCCTTTCTCTTTAACATTCAATCCCCAGTACCTTTAGCCTTTCTCTTTAACATTCAATCCCCAGTACCTTTAGCCTTTCTCTTTAACATTCAATCCCCAGTACCTTTAGCCTTGCTCTTTAACATTCAATCCCCAGCCTTTTCTCTTTACATTCAATCCCCAGTACCTTAGCCTTTTAACTCTTTAACATTCAATCCCCAGTACCTTTAGCCTTTCTCTTTAACATTCAATCCCCAGTACCTTTAGCCTTTCTCTTTAACATTCAATCCCCAGTACCTTTAGCCTTTCTCTTTAACATTCAATCCCCAGTACCTTTAGCTTTAGCCAATTGCTTTCTCTTTAACATTCAATCCCCAGTACCTTTAGCCTTGCTCTTTTAACATCTTTAACATTGCTCTTTAACATTCAATCCCCAGTACCTTTAGCCTTGCTCTTTAACATTCAATCCCCAGTACCTTTAGCCTTGCTCTTTAACATTCAATCCCCAGTACCTTTAGCCTTTCTCTTTAACATTCAATCCCCAGTACCTTTAGCCTTGCTCTTTAACATTCAATCCCCAGTACCTTTAGCCTTGCTCTTTAACATACAATCCCCAGTACCTTTAGCCTTGCTCTTTAACATTCAATCCCCAATACCTTTAGCCTTTCTCTTTAACATTCAATCCCCAGTACCTTTAGCCTTGCTCTTTAACATTCAATCCCCAGTACCTTTAGCCTTGCTCTTTAACATTCAATCCCCAGTACATTTAGCCTTGCTCTTTAACATACAATCCCCAGTACCTTTGGCCTTGTTCTTTAACATACAATCCCCAGTACCTTTGGCCTTGCTCTTTAACATTCAATCCCCAGTACCTTTAGCCTTGCTCTTTAACATTCAATCCCCAGTACCTTTAGCCTTGCTCTTAAACATTACAATCCCCAGTACCTTTAGCCTTGCTCTTTAACATACAATCCCCAGTACCTTTAGCCTTGCTCTTTAACATACAATCCCCAGTACCTTTGGCCTTGCTCTTTAACATTCAATCCCCAGTACCTTTAGCCTTGCTCTTTAACATTCAATCCCCAGTACCTTTAGCCTTGCTCTTTAACATACAATCCCCAGTACCTTTAGCCTTGCTCTTTAACATACAATCCCCAGTACCTTTGGCCTTGCTTTTAACATTCAATCCCCAGTACTTTAGCCTTTCTTTAACATTCAATCCCCAGTACCTTTAGCCTTGCTCTTTAACATCAATCCCCAGTACCTTTAGCCTTTCTCTTTAACATTCAATCCCCAGTACCTTTAGCCTTGCTCTTTAACCCCATACAATCCCATTCAGTACCTTTAGCCTTGCTCTTTAACATTCAATCCCCAGTACCTTTAGCCTTTCTCTTTAACATTCAATCCCCAGTACCTTTAGCCTTTCTCTTTAACATTCAATCCCCAGTACCTTTAGCCTTTCTCTTTAACATTCAATCCCCAGTACCTTTAGCCTTGCTCTTTAACATTCAATCCCCAATACCTTTAGCCTTTCTCTTTAACATTCAATCCCCAGTACCTTTAGCCTTGCTCTTTAACATTCAATCCCCAGTACCTTTAGCCTTGCTCTTTAACATTCAATCCCCAGTACATTTAGCCTTGCTCTTTAACATACAATCCCCAGTACCTTTGGCCTTGTTCTTTAACATACAATCCCCAGTACCTTTGGCCTTGCTCTTTAACATTCAATCCCCAGTACCTTTAGCCTTTCTCTTTAACATTCAATCCCCAGTACCTTTAGCCTTGCTCTTTAACATACAATCCCCAGTACCTTTAGCCTTGCTCTTTAACATTCAATCAATTAGCCTTGCCCATTCAATACCCAATACCTTTAGCCTTTCTCTTTAACATTCAATCCCCAGTACCTTTAGCCTTGCTCTTTAACATTCAATCCCCAGTACCTTTAGCCTTGCTCTTTAACATTCAATCCCCAGTACATTTAGCCTTGCTCTTTAACATACAATCCCCAGTACCTTTGGCCTTGTTCTTTAACATACAATCCCAGTACCTTTGGCCTCTTTAACATTCAATCCCCAGTACCTTTAGCCTTTCTCTTTAACATTCAATCCCCAGTACCTTTAGCCTTGCTCTTTAACATACAATCCCCAGTACCTTTAGCCTTGCTCTTTAACATACAATCCCCAGTACCTTTGGCCTTGCTGTTTAACATACAATCCCCAGTACCTTTAGCCTTGCTCTTTAACATTCAATCCCCAGTACCTTTGGCCTTGCTCTTTAACATTCAATCCCCAGTACCTTTAGCCTTGCTCTTTAACATTCAATCCCCAGTACCTTTAGCCTTGCTCTTTAACATACAATCCCCAGTACCTTTGGCCTTGCTCTTTAACATTCAATCCCCAGTACCTTTAGCCTTGCTCTTTAACATTCAATCCCCAGTACCTTTAGCCTTTCTCTTTAACATTTAATCCCCAGTACCTTTAGCCTTGCTCTTTAACATTCAATCCCCAGTACCTTTAGCCTTGCTCTTTAACATTCAATCCCCAGTACCTTTAGCCTTTCTCTTTAACATTTAATCCCCAGTACCTTTAGCCTTGCTCTTTAACATTCAATTCCCAGTACCTTTGGCCTTGCTCTTTAACATTCAATCCCCAGTACCTTTAGCCTTTCTCTTTAACATTCAATCCCCAGTACCTTTGGCCTTTCTCTTTAACATTCAATCCCCAGTACCTTTAGCCTTGCTCTTTAACATTCAATCCCCAGTACCTTTGGCCTTTCTCTTTAACATTCAATCCCCAGTACCTTTAGCCTTGCTCTTTAACATACAATCCCCAGTACTTTTGGCCTTTCTCTTTAACATTCAATCCCCAGTACCTTTGGCCTTGCTCTTTAACATTCATCTTTGCATTTCTTTTGGATATCCTGATTTCCTCAAGTCATTTGTTTTCCATTTAAGTGCCTGTTTAGAGATTTGCTGTTCTCTCTGTTTGCTTCTTGTCAGGATTTAAAAAGCAAGCCACAGCTGTTATCTATTATTAATTATTTGTTCAAATGCCTAGAGAAGAATCAGCTAGAAAGTGTCTTATCCTTGTTCGTCAGTTTCAGTTTTGCTTTTATGGTAGCTCAAGAACACTCAAGAAATTGTTTACAACTGGCAAGATTGATGGAAAACAAACAAGGGGAAGTCAGAGAGATAAATAAATGCCTAGATTGTTTGTCTGAAGTGATTGGAAGAGGCAAGAGCACTGACTTGATCCATGATTCTTGTGATTATCTGAGATGGTGAAACATTACTGGTTATGCATATCGACATCACACAAGTTGATGATGCATGGCTCATGATGAAGATGTTGTCTGTGTCCACCTTAACTTGGTTATCTAGAATTGAATCCCCAGGCTATCGGGTACCTGGCCATTTCAGATCTGTATCACTGTGGTCCTGATAATTGTAAAATACGACACCAGTTGTTTTAGTTCTGTGAAACCTAAGCAGAAGCAGTTTGGAGTCTTGGTCAGGTTGTATACAAATCCAAGGGATTGAAACAAATGGCCACTGAGCAGACAGGTAAACATGATGACCTCTGCAACATCCCACCCATCAAGTTGCTGAAAAAAAAAAAACAAAAAAAAAAAAAAACAAATGAAATGTGACATTTTTAGTGATTATTTTGTGCAGAGGCAATTTTTTTTTAATATATGAAGGGAAATGTCATATTATGCCGAAAAGATATCAATGGCTCGAACAGGAGAATTTATCTAGAGAAATGTCCCGAAAAAAGAAATATCTGTAAAAGTTCTCTAGTCCTGTAGTGAGGAGTTGGATGATCAGCATAAATCTTGTCATTTTTTTTAATAAAGATATGCCATGGGTCTACTAACTGGGGTGTCCTCACTATAAACTAATTGTCCCCAAGAAACTAAGATATTTCTTTACACTTTCAAACAGACGCATTATCAAAGTATAGACTCATAATAACCAAAACAAAAAGTGTTGATTTAATCAATTAAAACTTGTTTTTCTTCCTCAGATAGTAGTACTGTGTACACTGTTTGATGGTTTTTGTTTGTTTCTACATTTGTTTCAACTTCATAGAAGATTT